CTTCATCTTTGGAATTAGTGGTTCATGCACATCAACTACATTTAGCATACTAAATTCTACAAAAAAAGACACTCACCTAACTTCTCCTTATATCTCCTCTGACTACTCCTATCAAGTAGTCCCATGCTCCTTTCTCAGCACATGCTTTAAATGTGGTATTCCTAAGAGTCACTGCCCTTCTCTATTTATTGTCCAAGTCAAAATCATGACAGTAGATAAATTATCACTATACCAATGATTGGAGTAGGATAAGGTTAGTGGCTCAACCCTACCAGCTACTCCTTGGAAACCCTATATGGATTCGTTATGAGTCAGAACCAACTCAACAGCACTTACCAACAATAATGTAAGAACTTTTATTGGATCAGTTGAAAGAAAATAACATAGATACTTAGGCTGTAACTCAGATTTACTCAATAAATAATCTCTAGGAGTGGATCCCAAAGCTATCTCTGCTTCCCATCGCAATATGCTCTCTGGGCAAGAACAAGCATTCCATTTAACACAGTGCTTGGCACATACAGACCACACAAGAAATATATCTTGGATGTTGTTGGAATACAAAACAGCTAACGATATAACTGTGTAATGTTAAATTATGTGCCTAGCTATTTAGACAACTACATTAGCAATTGAATTTAAAAACAGCAATAATGGCTAAGTATAAACAGGTTTGGCATGTTAAGGGCTTTAAGCACTTCTCTAGCAACAGTATGGTGGTAGTGGTGGTTCACTGCCTTGAATCGGGTCCAATTCACAGTGACCAACTTCCTCCCTGGGAGTTCCACGTTTCCATCTTTCCTGCTCTTCTTCCCTACCTTCTGAAGTTTGTTTTTAGGAAATGCTGCCCTTTTGGTCTCATATGGCTGATTTTCCTGTTTCTCACAGATGTCATGGTTCACCTTACAACCTTGTCTATCGTTTGGCAGAAAGGTGTCTCCAGGAGCGGGTTCAGATCCAGGTTTGAAGGGTGTCTAAGGACCATAATCTCAGGGGTACCACCAGTTTCTAACAGGCCAACAAATATGGTCTTTTCTGTAATTTTGATTTTTGTTCTACATTTTTCTTCCACTCTGTCCAAGACCTTCTATTTCTATTGTGATCCTGATCAGAGTAGTTTGTAGTGGTGGGTGGGCACCCAACCTTTAGTTCTGGTGTCATGGTATTTACTGGAGGCTGTGGTCTAATAGCCCTTTAAACTGTTTCACTGAGTCTTTGATTTCCTTCACTCTTTTTGGCTCCAGACAGGAAAAGACCAATAGCTATATCTTAGGTGGCTCTCACAAATTTTTGAGACCCCAGCTGCCACCCATCAAAGTAAGATTTAGAAGCGATTGTCTTTACGGACTGTTACGCCAACTGATGTAGATAGATATACCAAGACCAGTGTCTTCATGTCCAGTGACTCAAAGCAATCTGCTTATTTTAAACTTTTTCTTCTGTAACTACATTTCTAATCCACTGTATCCACAATATGAAACATACCTGGTTTCATATTGGAAAGTAGAATAGTAGAGCAGAAAACTGTAAATGTTCAGTTAAACTTTAAACAATTCATTTATGTAAAAACAAATGATTTTAACTTGATAAACTAAGATCTATTATTATACTAAACACGTTTTTAAAACTAAAAGGTTTAAACTAGTATTTAAAACACCTGCAAATAGGACATAGTAAATGTTTAATCAGCACCATTAGAAAAAAAACCCTTGCAAATATAAAAAGGTCTTAGAAATAAGGAGACCTGATGGGCCTGTGGCTTAAGCACTGGGTCACTCCGAAGAGAGAAAGAAGGCCTACTTTCATTAAGACTTACAGTCCAGCAAGTTCTATGGAACCGTTCTACTCTGCCCTAGAGGATCACTATGAGTTCGAATCGACTTGACAGCAGTGGGTTGTGTTATAAACCAGTTAACAGAGGTAAAATGAGCAAAAAGTAAATGACAATTTACAAAAACAAATACCAATGTCCAGTACACATATCAAGTTTGACCTCACCAATTTCCAAGAAGTAAAAAAGTCAATTGTAAAATATGACCATTTTCTACCACCAAACAAGCATTGACTAATGGGAAACATTAGTATATACTACTAATATAGGAGTCTTGGCATGGCACTGCAGAGTAAGCACTGGACCACAGTCGGTTTGAATCAAAAGGTCAGCAGCTCACTCACCAGCCTTTTCTCGGAAACCCTATACAGGGTTGCTATGAGTCGGAACCAACTTGATGGCACTTAATAACTTAAGAGTCCTGGTGGCACAGTGGTTAAGCACTCCCACTGCTAACCTAGAGATTAGTGGTTCAAACCCAGCAGCTACTCCTCTGCTTCTGTGAAGATTCCCAGTCTTGAAGTTTCCTAAAGGGTCATTATGAATTAGAATCAATTCGATGGCAATAGGTTTGGTTTTGATTCAACAATTCAATTTATTCTAAAGGGGGGAAAAAAAAAGATGAATTTATGTAAATATTCCCAATGTTTATAAAAAACAAGAAGCTAGAAAATTAAAAGACCAATAATAACATATTAAATAAAATGGGTTTGATCTGTAATCACGTGAGCATTGAAAAATACTTAACTATTACACAAGAAAGTTGTTCATGGATTCCTTTGGATTCTGTAACTTTTGTAGTAACTTGTTCTTTTTATTAAAAACAAAACTTATAGCATGACTCAACTTTTTTTTTTAAGGTAGTTTATCCAGAGGTCTGGACAGCTAACGACTGTTCATATTTTGGTTTATCTCTCCACGTGGCAAGCTTGTCTTTTTATTATTATTATTATTCTTTCTTAATCTGTTGTTACAAATCCATAAGCATGTTGTTGTTTAAGTACCTCGTGGCTTCTGACTCACAGAGACCCTAGACAGGGTTTCTAATGAACGGCTGGTGAGTTTGAACTGCCAACCTTGCGGTTAGCAGTTCGGTGCTAATTCTACAGAGCCACAGCAGGAGTTCAACAGCACCATACCATAAGCAACTTAAAACATTTAGTATAGACTTAGGAAGTACACTATTTGAAGAAAAGATGGCCAGAGATACATACTATCCCTTATTTTACTGAAAATTCTAAATAAAAGCTTTTAAACAAAGCATACTTATGTGTTCAGTGAGAGTATCTCTAAAATGTAGTAGAGACCAGAATTATCAACAACTCACACATGGAAGCATGGCAAAAGGACACCTAAAAAGTCCCCCTTTAAAAAAAATGACTGTTTTTAATTGTTCATTTCATCAGTATTTCATCTCTCCCATAACTAACAAAGAATAATGTCATGTGCATTAGCTACAGTTCTGTTCTAGAAGTGACATTTAGAACAGGTAAGGTTTGGCTTCAGTGATTACAACACACCTAAAAGCTAGACAGTTGGATGTAGCTACATATGCAGACAAAGAAAATTCAAAAAGTTAGATACCACCAGATTTTTTTTTAAAAAAAGCTAACCAAAATGTCAGTAAGTGAGGTAGAAATTCAAAGATACCAGATTTTCAGATTTTGTATTTTGCAGAAAAACTGAAACTATTCAAGGTTTTTCTAGAAATTTTTAATGAACCTCTCTTAAAAAAGCAAACTCAAGTTAGTGGCCAAAGAGCTCAAATAAGCTTATTTTTAGAGTAAGGAAAAGAGCAATAAAATGTTATTTCGTACAACTCTTCAATATCCTTCAACTGCGCTATTGAAAGGAAAAGATGAGCTGTCCACTGTCTACTGACAGCACTAGATATTAGATTGTTTTTACTCTTATTCAAAACACTGACTTCAAATGATGGTTCAATTTTCAAGACTGACACGCAAGTAGCTGATGATGGAGCCAGGGCATGTAGTTTCGTTCAAGGTAAGTTTTTGTGAAGTGCCACTGAGTTGGTTCCGACTCACTGCGACCCTGTATGGGGTTTTCCAGGAGCAGATGGTGGGTTTGACCCACTGACCTTACGGTTAGTAGTCCAGTGTTTATCCTGCAGCGCCATACCAGGACCCGTTCTAGCGCTTTCTTAAAGTTGCAATCAATCCAGACTTCATTATTTTTACTTTTCAACCTTACCCCTGGATCCCTCGTCACAACTGTTTGCTTCCAAACAAACTGAAACTTCGGATTTCCTACAGCTGAGAAAATGCAAAACCTGACAGCACCCTCCCACGAAGATTAAATGAGATGCCTTTATCAACTACAACCAAGTGTACCTTACTAACCCAGAGAACTTATCAGAGAAGTTGAGTATTGGCCACAGCGCTCTAACTCACAATAGAGTCTTGTCCGATATTAAACAAACAATAACACTGACTTTTTTTTTTTAGCTGCAGGACTGGACGTGCAATCTGCCTAACTATTCCAACAGCTTCAAGCAAGTCATATGCTACAACTGGGGAAAGTAGCAGTTAGGTCCCAAACCAACAGCAGAAACGTAAAAAGGAGTAAGTAAACGCCTTACCATCGGAAAAGGACACACATCAGCACCTCTTCCGAGAAGCTGTTCCCTTCCCCCACCTTTAAGTAGGCACTTACGGTTGCCAAGGAGCTCCGTTTCTTTATTAACTGGTGCCCACTTGGGGCAACCGTACACCAGGCTGCTCTTAGGCCTACCCTAACCCATTCCAAAAGTGCAGTGAGCTAGAAGCCAAGGATAACCCCATAAGAGGCTCAATTCTTCTCTCTTCTCCACCCACTCTACCTCCGCCCCGCCCCTCCGACAGTGGAAGGACACCGGGCCTAGGGTCGGGCAATCCCTGTCCGCAGAAGGCTCGGGCGGCCGCAGGCCTCCGCCATAGCAGGACCAGGGAAGCACCGCCCCCCGAGCACCTCCCTTCACCCGGTTCCCTGCTCAGCAGCGATCGTCGGCTTCCGACACCCTCGGTCCCCGGCAGAGACAGCGGAGGAGGCAAGACCGGGAAGACACCGGCAGGGCTGCGCACCAGGCTCAGGCCTGCCCCTTGGGCGACACGGACCGCCCGATCTTCTCCCCGCTTCGGTCCGGCCCAGCCGGCGCGGCGGCCCCCCTCACCTGGATGACCTCGTTGACCTCCCGGATACATTCCACCATGTGTTGCAGAATCTGCTCCGCCGTGAGCACCTCGTATCGGTAATCTTCCTCCTGCTCGTGCCCCGGTCCGCCGCCACCGCCGCCACCGCCGCCGCCCGGCCCCAGTGCGCTGCCGCCGCCGCCGCCCGTCTCCCCGCACAGCAGTCCGTCCCTCTCCCCGCCGACGCCCAGTCCGGGCTCCACCAGCTCCACCTCGCCCAGATCCAGGTTATCATCGTCCGGCTCGTCCTCGTCGTCGTCCTCCTCCTCCTCGGCGCCGCTGTCCTCTTCGCTGCACTCCTCGTCCTCGTCGAACTCGTAGTTGTAGCCTTCGTCCGAGTCCATGGCGCGATGCGCAGGGGCCCGGCGGACGCTGGCCCTAAGGAAGGGAGAGGGCGGGGACGCCGAGGCCCCGGCTCTCGCTCCGGCTGATGTCCGGACGCAGGCCTGGCTCCGGCCCCGTAAGCCGCGGCTCCTCCCCGGGCGCGGCGGTTGGCGGTTGGCGGCTGGTGGTGGCGGGGAGGGCGCAGAGGAGGGAGGGAGCGAGGGGTCCTCTCGCTGCCCGCCTCAGTCAGACGCGGCTCCTCTCCGGCCTCCGAGAGAAAACAGTCCCCAGCGCCACCTCCACGGCCGCTGCTACCGCTACTGAGCCAACAAAGGGGCGTGCGTCACCGCGTCGCGCTGCGTCGTTGCATCACTCCCTTTTACGTCATCGCGCCCCGCCCCGCCGCCCCTGCGTGGAGCTTAAGGAGACCCCACGGCCCTGCCTGCCTGGATTTGGGAAGGGAACGGCGCGGGAATTGCTTTTTGGGGTCTGTTCCAGGACTATCTCCTCGACCAGACGACCCTTTGCTTGAGGAGGCTGTGTATCCGCCTTACTGAGACAGCGGACCGCCCTGGTGGTTTTTTTTATTTTTTTTAAATCACAGACCTAAGCGATTCAGCACCCTCACGCAATCCCGTAGGGAAGGCGGCCTCCCCACCGGGACGTAAAGGCACTTCCCGCCCGTCCTAGGGTAATTCCGGGAAGCCCTCAGTTCTTGAGCTAAAATTCCTGTTGCTGGGGCTACTGAAGGGAAATCTGTATTACGCGGCACTTCTAAACTGTGTGGCAGGTGAACCCATTTTCGTTCTTTGATTCGGCCCACTGGTACAGACATGCGGTGGTTGTAGCGTCTCCCATAGTGACGTCATTTTAAAGAGTCGTTTCTTGAACTCATTTCGACAAACACCTATTTAAGAGCCCTAAACAATGTCCTAAGGAGCTCTGGCAGCGTAGTGGTTACGAATCGGGCTGCGAGCCGCAAGGTCAGCAGTTCGAAACTACCAGCGGTTCCGCGGGAGAAAGATGAGGCGGTCTGCTCCCGTAAAGATTTACAGCCTCGGAAACCCTGTGTAGGGTCGCTATGAGTCGGAACCGACTCCACGGCACATCACAACAACAACAACAACAAACAATGTCCTAAGGAGCATTGGTAGCGTAGTGGTTATGAATCGGGCTGTGAACCGCAAAGTCAGAAGTTCGAAACTACCAGCTGTTCCGTAAAGATACACAGCCTCAGAAACCCTGTACAGGGAGGGTCGCTATGAGTCGGAACCGACTCCACGGCACATAACCACCAGCAACCAATGTGGGTTTATGTGCTGGACTGAAAAGTCGGTTTGAACCGCGATGTCAGCGTTTCAAGCTCACCAGTCGCGCCTTGGAAACCCTATACAGGCAGGGTCGCTATGAGTCGGAACCGACTCCCACGGCACTTAACAACTAACATAAGGAGACCTGGTTCAATGTAACCAGTGTGGCTCTGCGGGTTAATGCACTGGATTGCAAAGTCCGTTTGAACTCATCCGCTGCACCTCGGAAACACTATACAGGCTTACTATGGGTTTGGACCGACGATGGCACTTAACAATGTAAATGGATTCCTGGTGTGTGTCTCTGTAGGCCTGCAAACCATAAGATGGGCAGTTCAAACCTACCAGCTCAGAAACCCTATACAGGGTGTCACTACTATACAGGGTATCACTATAAGAACCAACTCCACGGCACTTAACAACAACAAATAATGTAAATAGTAATGATGTTCATTATTTGAGCATTGTGGTAAGGGTTTATTTACATAATGGAGCCAAAGTACCCAAAGAAACTGAGGGGCTTAACCAATACCACAAAACGCTTGCAAGGTTGAAAAAAAAAAAGTTGCATGATAATTATTATATACAACATAATAGCATTCTAATAAATACAATGTTGTCGATATGGTAGAGCAATAATAGAGACGTCTACCAGGGCCAAATGAGTCTAGAGGAATTGCTTGACTGCTAATGGAAGTTGCTGTTTTATCTGAATGTTGACGCCCGACTAGAAGTTTTCCAATAGAGAAGGTAGTGAAGGTAATCTACCCTGTTGTTGTTAAGTGCCTTCGAGTGGGTTCCGACCCATAGTGACCCTGTACAAGGTTTCCGAGGGTGTAAATCTTTACGGGAGTAGAAAGCCTCATCTTTCTCCCGCGGAGCGGCTGGTAGTTTCAAACCGCTGACCTTAAGGTTCGCAGCCCGATTGGTAACCACTACCCTGAGAGACCACAAAATCAAAACCACAGAAGGTGTAAAGTTATTAATAGTTTGAGGAGCATAAAGAGCAAGAAGGGTAAATAGGGTTAAGAGGCCAGGTCAGTAAGAGCATTTGAAGGCATTCTACTAGTGGGTTTCTAAGTGGAAAAGGAGAGTCAGGTAATGTGTTGTGAGCTGAGAAGGTTTCACTCTTCAAATAGCTTGAAGGAATGGCCAGATTGAAATTCTTTTAAAATCTGGACCCTTAAATTTATTAGTTAATCTTACTGTTCTCCTGTATGGTTCAAGTTGGAAATTGATTTTGAAAGGTCAAAAATATTTCTTTACAATGTAAATAAAGCTCTACTAACTTGTTCATTTTGTAAAGTTTAAATAATTGGAATTTTCATAAAATAGAATACATAATCTCAGGATTATCCAGTTAAAGCTATTGCCATCGTGCCGATAGGTTTTAGCCTTTCGACTCTATTTCTATTCAGCAACCTGAGGTTATTACTCCAACTAGAGCAATCTGTGGACACTAACAACCCCTATGTGCACCCCATTCCTTTTGTTATAATCCTGTGGGGGGAAAATTCAATTATACTTGTCAGTGTCCTAAATTCCTTTACTCCATCTGTCTCCAATTTACTCCTACCTGAGTGAACTCTACTATCCTTATTCAACCATTTGATACCACAGCAGCTGAACACTATTGGAGAAATTAACTACATACATTGTATTACAAAAATCACCGGTAAAACTAAGCCCTCAACACAGCTCAGCAACACTTAATTTTTTGAATTGTTCTCCTCCTCTAGGCAACTTTCGAACTCTTGCCAGTTTCCTCACTGGCCTCCTCAATGCTTTCAAAGTAAGTTATACAAGGGTAAGTCAAAAAGTATTGCTACTCGGGTCTTAGTTTATATATGCACGGGTTCGTTCCAAACAGAGCGTGTTTATGTATGTCTCTTCAGCCAGTGAATGACTGCAAAGAAGTTCTCAATAATACACCTGTCATAATCTCACTAGGGTGCCTTCAAAAAATAAGGTCCAATCAAACAGTGGATTCTGAGCGGATCTGCAAGGTTTTTTTGAAGTCCAAAAGGATCATCTTGATAGATAGATAGGACACAGCACAATCATAGGGCCATAGTAGGGAGAAGTTTTTTTAAAAAATGGAAAACTGATGAGAAAAAGGCAAGGAAAGTTGCACCAAGGAATTCTTTTATCCTCACAACAATGCACCTGTTCATTCAGCAAGAGCTGTGCTACGAGAATTGCTCTGGGGAATCTTACCCCATCTGCCCTACAATCCTGATCTTGCCCCATCAGACCTCTTTTTGTTCCCCAAATTCAAAATACAATTAAAAGGAACACAGTTTTAGTCCCTCAAGGATGCCCAAACTGCCATTGATGTGGTCTACATTGAAGAATGCAGAATTCTTCAGTGACTAAAGTCACTTTCAGAAATGTATAGACCTAGATGGAGGATATGTGGAGATCACATATGTGGAGACCACATTTTTATATTTTTGTTGAATAAAGTTTCTATGATTTTGGAGCAAAATTTTTTTTACTGACTCTGATATGTCACAGAGAAATCTGAAATCAACAACAACAATGTGACTGAAGCATACTAAACAAAGAAGAGAGTGTAAAGGGATACAGCCAGAGAAGGCAGGTAAAGGGTTAGTAGGACCATCTACACCAGTATATGTTCACATTATTACAATGGAAAGCATTGAAGCGTTTTAAGCAGAAGAGTGAAGGTTATCTGAACTGTGTTTTTAAAAGGATAACTATGGCTGCTTTGTGGAAAATGGACTATGAAAACAGAGGCTAATCAAGAGGCTATCATAGGAGTCCAAGTGAATAATAATGGGCTTGGACTGGGGTTATGACAGTGGAAATGATGAGAAATAGTCAGATTCAGATATAATTTGAATGTAGAGCCAACTGATGTGGGGGTGACTTGTATGTAGAGTCTGTAGAAAGTGAATGATACGCCGTTTCCTAAAACATGTTGAGTTCTAGAGGCATGTTATACATCCAGATGGAGACGTTGAATTAGGCAGTTTCATATGCTAGTGTTCAAGACTGAATAAAGGTCAAGAGAAGTTAGAGCTGGAGATAGAATTTCACCTGAGTTTCCTGTCAACAGTGTTGAGAAGAGCATACGATAAAGGTTAAGTAAGAGCTTAGGCTTCAGAGGAGACAGACCTAGATTGGCCTCTGCTTCTGCACTTGCTTTCTGTTACCTCTGAGCTTCTGTTTGGAGGATTACAATTTCTATTCTCATAGGACTATTTGTGAGAATCAAATGAAAGAATGTATTTAAAGTACTTGACAGAGTGCTGAGAACAAAATGAGAACTTTAAAAAAGTCACCTTGTACCTTCTGAAAAACCTCTGGTCAATTGGATTTGGTTTCATTTTAATAGTACCTTTATATATACTGTTTGTGTCACCCTCATTCTTTAGGGAAAGATAATGGTCTGCTTTTGTCTTAGGAAACTTTTCCATAGTCTCATGACTTTGTTGTTGTTGTCAGTATGTGCTTCTGAATTATAGTTCTACATCTCCTATTCATGGATTTATTCTCATAAACAGATTCTCAACAACACAAATACCATTCATATTTTGTAAATGATCTTAAATTCGGGTTAGTTTATTGTGCTATTTAAAGCAAACCAGTATAACAACTTCTCTCTAACCCTAAATTAGCCAACGGATGACCCACATACATTGTTTTGTTTTTAAGTGCCTTGTGCCTGTAGGAATTGCCTGTGTTACTGCTTTCTTAACTATGATAATTACTTGATATAAATATTGTTGTTGTTAGGTGCCATCGAGTCATTGCCGACTCATAGCGACCTTATGCACAGCAGAACGAAACACTGTTCCATCCTGGGCCAACCTCACTATTGTTGCCATGCTTAGTAATCTATAAATAACAACAGGAAAAGTTACTTGAAAAATAATAGACAAATTACACTTCCTTGATGTCAAGTAACCATTGCATATAATTAGGCACCCCATTGTCCCCAGGTCCTAGTAAGGTAAAAAAAATATATTAGTACCCATTTATTAAATGTC